ATTTTGTGGCAAGATAAAGAGTGACAGAGCCTTAAGAGAAAAAACATACACATCAAATCTTCCAAAAGAACTTTTCAGTTTTATGCTTTGTTTATTGTTGGATCATTTTCAGCTAAGTTTATACAGCTTTAGCCCTGAGAGCTTAAATCCTTACATCGAAAGGACACCTTGATCCTTTAGTTATTATAACTTAATTCAACCATACTGTACATTCTGTATAGCAAACTTTCTTTCATTTTTAAACTTTTGCTGTTTTACCTATAAAGTTATACTTAGGATGTAATTAATGCAGAACACAGTTTATTGGTTGTAGAAAAATGGTAATTTAGATGGATTAATCTCCTTCCCAAGAGTGGAAAAAATGTACAACTAATTCACTTGCTTGAAAGGATGTTGCTTATTCCCTCCAAATGAAAGCATCATATCCACATTTTTTAAACTTTTATGTTGATTTTTTAAAGGCTTAAGGTTGTAAAATATATTCTCTAGAAAAGTTTTTAAAAACACCTGTATATTGTATTTAATGCTTATGCTAAAAATAAAGCTTCAAATCTGCCCTCAAAATCAACCCTAACAAAAAACTATGGTATTAAAAAGGACATTTGAGGTTAAACCTTTTCACATTTACTACTGATCCTTTCCAGTTTTTACTGCTCCCACACACCTGATATATACAAAGCTTGAATTATTTATTCATGCCCACATCTCTGTGTGAACAGTGTGCTGAGTGTGTACACTGAAGAAACAAAAAAAAAAAAGAGTTAAACACAAGCAGGTCACAGCAAGCTTCAGATAGAAGCTGAAAGGGAAAGTGTGAAAGATTTAGCACATGAAGCTGATTTAAAGGAGGCCAGCAGGCTGGCGTGATCTGCAGCTATGTAATTTGGCTAATTTGGCTCCCTTCGTTGGTCTTCCTTCTGCGCTTTGTGCACTCAGAGGTGTGTGTGTGTGTGTGTGTGCCTGTGCATGGATGTGAGAACATTAATAGCATTTGGCGATGAGAGCTTTCTTCAAAAGAGAAAATAACATGCAGTGAGTGAAATGTGTTTGGGAGGTGTTTAATCGGCAGCGACACGAATCTATTTCACAAGGAAGAGAATTCAAAAAGAGATTGCAGAATTTGCTTCGAATTTACAGTACACTTAGAAAAATTCAGTCTTTTTATCATCTTTCTAACCAATATTTATCTTTGTTTATTTAGAGCATCTTCTTCTTTTATAAAAATAAATATAGACACAATTTTTCTTAGAAATAGAATGAAATTTGACTCGTTTTGTTGAGCTTTGTTTTTTTCTGTCTGGTAGAAAATAGCATGGCCTACTATATCCTGTTTCTGGAGATGACATTAGGGGAAGAGTTGCAGTCCATCCTTCCTTTTTCCTGTCCAGATGGCAGCATCAGCTGATAGGACACAGAAAGTATCTTCTTTAGACATGACAGTGTTTGAAGCGTCTCAGTAGTGTAGACGTGCATGAGGGATGTTTGAGAAGTGACCATGTTTTCATTTGTGTTGTTAAATTTACAATCAGAAATTTAACGAACATAGGCTTTGTTTAGAGACAGATTCTTCTTTATGAATGATTCACTTTGTGGCTTTTTTCAAATATAACTTTTATTGCAGGTTTGTATTCAAGTTCACTTTGACATACAAAGCCTTTTTTGTATTCGGCTTTATCCTGGGATCGCTTGGGTTTGAGCTCCAGGATCCCAAAGGAGAAAAGACATTTGATTACTGTACTTGTCAGCCAAAGAGACCCCCCCTTCTCATTCGCTTCCTGCCCAAGGGAGATAAAAAAGAGACCTCTTCTGTGTTGTGCTGCTTTGGAAAAACAGCAACCCAAGTTGTCTTTTTTTCAGACATTTTTCAGCAGTTTCTGCAGTGTAGCCTTTAGCTGGAAATTCATTATGAATCATTTGAATCCAGTGAGAGCCTTGATTGGGAAACATAAAAAGAGCAATAGGTAACATGTCTTAGCTTGGTTTAAAAGCTGCTAGATATGCAAGATAAAAAAAATAAAAAAAATCATAAAAGCGTTGAGCTAAAATGCTTTTTCTCTTGTATTTGAGTAGCTGATCATTCTGTCACTAAAACACAGGAAACTCAAACACTGATGTTTTTTGTCAGATTATTTCAATCTAGATGTAAAGCTGTCACTCATGTCAACTTCCTGTCTTCTTTTTCTAGTGACCTTTCAACGATTTAGTTATAAAACTGTTTAAAGAAAACTTTCCTCATATATGGCCAGCTGACATAATTATGTAGTGGTTCCTGCGTACTTGCCTCTATGCTTGAGGCCATTTGTCCTTGGGTGCAACAAAAGATGGGGGATGAGTAGATCAGGGGAAGAGTAACAATCTGATTTGAATTTTCTAAAGTTGCGGAGGAAGATAATAAAAATTTTTTAAAGTAGAATGACTCTTAGCATTTGTTGGGGGAGTGGTGGCCTAATAGTTAGAACATTGCGCTTGGATGCGGGAGGTCCTGAGTTCAAGCCCCACTCCCACGGACTGCCACTCTGGGTCCCTGAGCAAGCCACTTAACCCCAGGCGCTGCACAGTGGCAGCCCACTGCTCCCTGAGGGGGATGGGTCAAATGCAGAGAGATTTCTCCAGTACATGCTTAATAAGGTTCAAGTCAATTCAAAGATTAATGCAATAATTAATCTAATAAAACTCCAGTACATATTACACAACAGATGTTTTGTTTATTTTAACTGATAATTTCTGTGAATTTTGATGATTATAGCTAATGGAAACTTACCACTCAGTTTCACATAGATCAACAAGATAATTTGAGATTACAGAAGAACACACGGTTATGTTTTGACCTAATCAGACTCAGTGACACCCTCAAAGGGAGGCGTTGAATAATCTTATAGCGACAGTGGCATCAGATAAAGGATTTTGCCCTGCAACCGAAGGGTTGGATTGGACCAGGGGTCAGAGGGCGAAGCTGACCCCAGGACAGCTGTAGCTATGTAGCCGGCCACCATCATTGTGTGCGACTGCATGTAGTGTAACGCCTTTGGAGTCCTTTCATTTAAAAAAGGTGCTAAAGGCCATTTACTACTTTGTTAAAGAGGCTGGCTGTACACAGATAAGTGTAAGAAAAGGGGGTTGTGGATAAATAAACATAACCAGACTAATAAGAGGATTTAGAAACAGTCTACCTTGTTCTGTTTATTTCTTATTTGGACATGGAGGTCCCAGATTCTGGAGCAGGAATCTAAATTATTTTTAAGTTTCATTAGAACATTTTAAAGTTCAGTCATGTTTTGGGGATGCCATTTATTGTTTGAGAAGCTTTGGAATATTGTCAAGCGAAACAGCAGAAAAGCCGAAGGTCGCTATTAAAGCAAACTGGGGAACCTTAACGCCTGAGCACAGAGAGAGCATGCAAGCAGCAGAGACAAAGTATTGAGCTACTATGCCAGACAGTACACAAACATTTTAATATACTGACAATTTAGTGTCAAAATTTTGTCTTTTGCAGTATTTTTGTTGTTTTTTTAAACTGAGTCATTGCATCATCTACAACCCCACCAAAACAATAAACTTAACAGAAATGGGTGATTAAAAGGGGTCCGTTTATTTGTCTATGCGTATCTTTCTGAACTCAGTTCCCTTCAAGAAACCTTGATACTCACAGAGAAACACAACAGTTTGGAAACAGGAATCAAAAGGACGAAACGATAGTGTTAAAATGTCACACTTTATTGGCTGTGTTTCGAATGAAGTAATGTTTACAGCAGATCAAGGCACAAAAACATGCTTAAGTTTCATAAAAGCAACACAGAACTATGACAAAATCTAAAAAGGCAACACTTAACATTAAAGACCCAGTTAGGGGAGACACCCAGGGTGTTAAAGAAGAACATCCTAATGAATATGTTCCTTAAAAGCATCTCCACAGCAACATTACAGTGAGAATGGGAAAACTGGAGAAGCTACTTCAGTTCTCTGCCCTAGAGCAGGGGTCTTCAACAGTTTCCAGGCTAAGGAGGACCCTCAAACTGATGGCGAGCTGGAGCAGAGACCCCCTAATTATATATATTGTATGAAATTTTATTATATCAAACTGGTCCTATAGTCACTCTATTACAGATGGATTAATGTAACGAAAGTAATTTCTCCCTGGGATTATTAAAGTATTTCTGATTCTGATTCCTTATTGATGGGACAGGTGTTGTGAATGAAATGGTGCACAGCTTTAAAGAGCTCCTTTGTGTCGCTTAATGTGTGCATTGATGGTTGAAAGACATCTTCTGCCTCCATTTATTTGTTTACTACTGTGTTGAATTCATGTTAATGTGTATTTAAAGAAATTTCAATTAGTGGAAAAGATTGCAGGGGGAAATATAAAAAAGTCTAATAAACCTAAACTATTGTGACCCCCATGCAGTATCTCCGTGGACCCCCTAGAGGTCCTGGACCCCCTGTTGAAGACCTCCGCCCTAGAGCATACAGTGGAATAAATTTAAGAACAAAACAAGTTCTCTAAAAGCCATACAGGCCATGAGGCCAGTGTAGCAGAAAAATATCCCTGTGATTTTATCTGAAAAGTCACGCTTGTCTTTGCTTCTAGAGGAGACAGTGGCGGTTCTATACCAAATGTACCAGGGGGCCAGTGTGTTTTCATGGAGGCACAGAAAAGCACGAAATAAAAAACAGGGCAAGGGATTCAAATATATAAATATAGCTGCATGAAGTGAAATTTCTATTCAATTAGGTTTAATTAAAATTATTTTTCTTATGAGGTCAATATACATTCATAATTGAGGAATTTTACATATCTTTCACTTAATTTAAGTTTCAATTAACATTTTCTATAAAATCTGAATTAGAACTCAAGAAAAACTGATAAAATCAGCTGTAAAAATTTGTTAAAAACAACATTTAGCAGATGAAAACTGCGACCCTATCTCAATACCACTGAAGCTATCACCTTATTGTTTTTAAATAATTAATAAAACATAATTTGTAAAAAAAAAATGAAATAAATCCAAAGGACCTATCAGTAACCATGTCTGTTCTTATCATTGGAATTTATTTTATGTATTATATCTTCAGGTATGGGCACTGGCCCCCGTTGGCCCCTGTCTAAAACCGCCCATGAGAGAGACTAAAGTTTCTTGCAGCAGCTGACCCTACCCGCAGGTTATGAGCTGAATCTAAAGGCAAAGCTGATTTACTTTTTAGTAATTATAACAAAAGCTGCTGGTGGTATGAGTCCAGCAGCTCATCTGCTGAAGACGTACTCAGTGTAGCTGGTCCACAGTTTGTCTTCGGACGGGTCATTGCTGCCGTAGGAGCAGGTCCCGGTGGAGCTGCAGGCCACCATGTGGAAGCCCGCCTCGGCCAGCCGGTCAAACGCCTGCTCCAGAAAGTTATACTTCAGGTAGTAGCGGGCGGTGTATTTGTCCGGCGGTCTGTCCGGGTCACGGCTCTCGTTCAGGGTTTCCCCGAACACCTCCTTAGCCAGAGAAATCTTCCCGCACACGGTTATCCTGGCCACCCTGCGGAATTTAGCGTCCGCCTGGATGTCTCTGCCGATGGTGTAGGTGCCTCTGTACCCGATGGTGATGTAGCCGGAGTTCCCACCCGGGGAGCGCAGAGGTCTATCCGAGGAAGAGGAGGAGGTGACCGGGCTGGTGAGCTCAGCCTCCTCCGGGTCTCCGCTGTCCTCCGCAGAGGAGCTGTCTTTACTGGCCGCCGCCAACCGCCGGGAGAGCTCCGGCAGCTGGAAGAAGTCCGCCTCCCTCTGCAGCCTCTTTCTCTCTTTAAAAAACTCCGGCAGGAAAAGCTCAGAGTCCCGTAAATAGTCCAGGATGTAGCGGAACAGAAAGCCGTCTCTGTCGAAGAAGAAGCGGCCTTTACTGTCTTTAGGAAGGTCTGCTGGGGAGTTCTGGGTGAACTTAGCCCAGAGTAGAGATTTGGGGACCGCCGTGAGAGTTTCAAAGCGGGTCACATACACCTGACCACCCACGTTGAGCTCCACCACATCAGGGAAAGTTGAACTTTGTGCCATCTCTGTCTCCTTCTCTGCTGGGTCCCTGCTGCTGACCTTAGGACGAATATCTGGGGAGGATCCTCAGTGTACAGTAATGTTTATAGTGGTTGGGTGTGTGGGAGGAGAAGGAAATGAACGGCCAGAAGAGACATTAACTGTTCAGTGGAAACGTGGTGCGTTCAGGGCCCCTGCTGGCTGTAATCCTCTGCTCCCATAGGTGTGACGCCAAGGAGAGACTGCTCCTCTGTATTGTTATCTGAATTAGCAAACACATTGAAAGGTAATATATTTTCCAAGAACAGAAGAGGTATGAGTCCATTATCTCGAATCATTTAACAACAGCAGCTGATTTAAATTTCAAACATATTCATAGGGTAAACTTTCACGCCTGTTAATCATTAACATGTCTTTATTGCATTGCAGAATAGCAAAGCACTCTCATATGCATCCCTTGATCCATTTTCAGGTCTGTAACTTTTCATAATATAAATAAAGTGACTCAAGATATAAAACATAACTTTCAGTAATTTAAAAAAAAATCTTGTAGGGCTATTCCTAACATAGTTCGATACAGGATAACATTCTCTGATCCTGTGGAAAGTGACGTATTTCATAATGATTTAGATATTAATGGGGTAAAACAGCAACAGAAAGTGAAATAGTTGTATTTTTGTCATAGAATGTGTGAAAACATATTAAAAGTGCAAACTATGGGGTAAGAACTATGGTATTCTGGGAAAATAATTGGCAACCTTCTGTTTGTCATTATTGTGCGACACTTTTATTTCACTTTTAGCTGATATAAAGCTTGATTTTAAGATATAATTGTAGACTATATATTTATATAGATATATATATATATATATAAAACACAGTAGTTTTAATTTACTTTGTATATACTCCATCTGTTGGTGTCATCATAAAGACATATCTTTTTAGAGTGATAAACTTTAAAACATAACTAAGATTAGTGTATTTCTTCATGTCTCCAAAATACTTAATGTCTCCAAAATAAAAGTCTTAGTAGCTGACTGTACTGATTTGTTTTTAACTTACTGTATCAAGGCCAGAGATATTTCAACTAAGTTTTCCTTCAGGTCTCATATCTTGGTCATATAAATACCCCCAAACTTGTGTTTAAGTTCAATAAGTTATTCTACTTTTCCAAACAGCATTTACACAAATTTATCACAATAGGAACATGTTCCATACTTCCAATATTTTAGAAAAATGAAACTGTTTTTCAGATGGTTTTTAGAGAGACAAGACATAAAAGATGAAATAACGGATTTAAAATTTGTCTAAAGCCAAAAGTAACATGTTTTTAAAAAGCTTATGCAAAAAAAGTAGAACATTTTGAGAATAAACCCGCTTAATTTTTATTTACTTAAATAGAATTATACGTTCTAAGAATGTTATCTGAAGGACTATAAACTTTTATTTCTGACTTCTGATAAACAATGAATGTTTATTCTGTTGATCTCCATTTTATTATCTTGAGTACACTGACATCTAGTGGACATTAACAGAAAAAGTGTTTTCTTAAGGCATCAATGACCCAACAGAGGGCATAATCCGGCAAACTCAAATTGTAGCTCCTATCTCCTTTTCCCAGATTCAGTCCCTTCACTTTTTGTGGGATCAACAGTATGGACACAGCAAGTATATGTGACCTGCTCTGCAGTTCTATTTGAGCAACATTCTTTTACTACTGTGTGTTAAATTCATCTTATCTAACCAGCATTCTTTGTTTTTTTATCCCAATGCTTGCAAGCTTACCCTATATATTAAACTTTAATGGGACTGTTTTGTTGCTTTCTTTTGGCAGTAACTTCCCAATCTTTACTCATTCATGAGGAGAGGTAAAATGCGCAAAATAGTTGTATCAAAGACCTTGAGGTGAAAGTAGTGAGAATATGTTAAATAAAAGAAACCCCCAGCAGCACCAGAGATAGGATAAGCAGTCTTTTTCCTTGACTGACTGAGATTGACACAATACAAAAGAAACACAGAGCAGCTGGGTATTCTAGGAGAAAGCAATCAACGAAAAGTTAATTGCATTAAGGTCTAAAAACAGGTGCACAATTTTTGGGAGTACAACTTTCATATTCTATCTGCACCCTAAAATCAAAGTGTTATTCTTTGTTCTGTGTTAGGCTTTTGGAAATGTCATCTTTGATAAGGTTGGGCCTTTTTCTTGCGAGCTGAAACAAGATAATTGGATGAAAGAGGATGTATGACTTAGCTCATCAGCCACTTCCTGAAGAGGAAGAAGTCCATCAAAAGTATGGCAACCCGTTTATAAAGCTCACTGTCCCTATCTCTAATGGCTGTCACTTCTGAGGCTGATCAGATCATGTTGCCTGCCAAAGTGTCTTTAAATGAGCTTTGGATTTTGCTGATTGATTTTCACACACTGACAAAACATGGCCAAACACACACACACACACACACACACACACACCCACACACACATGTAGACCCATTCATATAAAAGCAATGTTTTTGATTTTTTTTTGTTGTTGTTGAATAAAAACCCCAGCTAATACGCAGCAAATAAAACATTTTATTTAATCTTTCCTGCTCATAATAAAATAAATAATGCTGTAATATTACATTTGATCATGTTTGTAATTAAGATTAATAATTGGATTTCAAAAGGGCGCCTTAAAGACAACTTTTTACTAAATTAAACCAGATGAAACTAAAATGTTTCCACTTTAAGAGTTCTGGATAGAGCATATTGGCAGACTCAAATATATTTTTTGATCTTAAATGCAAAATGTTCATATATTTTTTTTTAACAATTTTGATATAATTACTGCTCTAAGTGGGTTGCTCTGTCAGCTAAAGGCATGTTTTACAGTCTCTATTTTTTTTTTTTATTTATTATTTATTTATTTTGGCGGAATTATTATCATTATGATTGTTATTCATACTTATTTGGTTTTCAATCCATAGATGTCTGGAACATGGGTTGTATGTGCGGGTGTAGTAATTGTGTTGTTGATAGTTTTTTTTTTTTTTTTTTTTTTTTTTGTGTGATGTCGTTGAGATGTAATTATGGAGTCTTTTTGTTTTGTTTTGTTTTGTTTTGTACGCCCTGGATGGGGTGTTTGTTGCTTTAATATGAAAAACTAATAAAAACAATATGATTATTATAGTCTCCATATTCCAGTTAACGATTAATCGGTTACCAAATTAGTTGATGATTCAGTTCATGATTAATCTGATTAATTGTTTCTGCCCTAGTCTTAAGAGGTACGATGAATTTTTAAATATGCACCCTCTATTTATTTAGGAATAAGAACATTACATCCATTTGTAATCTCAGGGTTCTACATATGTAAATGTTAATCATGCAGAAGAACGTTGACTCTCCAAGCAGCAAAAGATCTGAGCATGTTCCTCAGCCAGAAGTGCAGTTTCACTCTTGTCCTGAAATCATGTTCGACTCGGCTTGAATGGATTTTACATGGAAATCTCCATCATGTCCCTGAGGTTTTCCATGGTCCATCTCTGCCTAAGGTCCTCCGTTATTGTGCCTGTGTCCACATAAGAAAAAAATAAAGCACCTGCCTTAACAACCTACAGTGTGCTTACAGGGAGCATTTTTCTATAGATAATGTTTCTTGTTAACAGTCCACCTGGCCCGGACACGTCTGCAGCATCCTGTCTTCAGATGTTGCTTGTTGAGTTCAGTTCAGCCTTAAAAACTGTACACACTGGCCCTGAACTTCTCTGCCTGGACTTCACTGCAGGGCTTTGCTTCTGGTCAGTGACTTCCTCTCCAACCACCCCCTGATGGTGAAGATATGAGATTACAAATGGATGTAATGTTCTTATTGTAGGGCGACAGTGGCGTTGGGTGTAGAAGTTTGCCCTGAAATCGAAGGGTTGACGGTTCAAGCCCCGACTCTGACTTTCAGTGTCGTTGTGTCCTTGGGCAAGACACTTCACCTGCATTGTCTACTGAGGGCCCGGTGGCGCCAGTGTATGGCAGCCCCGCTTCTGTCAGTGAGCCCCAGGGCAGCTGTGGCTACAATGTAGCTTGCCACCGTGAGTGTGTGTGTGAATGGGTGAATGAATGTAGTGTAAAGCGCTTTGGTCAAGTCTCCTGACTTGAATAAAGGCGCAAAATAAGTACATGCCATTTACCATACTGTATGTAATATCATAGCTGCCGCACTCTTTTTCAACCCTGGCATGCCCCAGGGTTGTGTTCCCAACCTTGTCCTATTTGCCTTTACTCAAAACTTTTCAACTATCCACACAACAAACATGCTTCTTAAGTGTGGAATGACCTTTGGCGACTGTTATCGGTCTCACATACAACAATGAGAGATCTACTACAGAGAGGAGCACCTGAATTTGAATAGTCATTTTCTAAAACCCAGAAAGATCCAGGATGTTGTAGTGGACTACAGGAAGTCCAAGAAGACACACACATAATCACACCTACAAAAACCCATTTAATAGACTGGACTTGCAATACCGTCTCTTTATATACTACATTTCTATAAGCATTTTATTTTGTTATGGGTGTTTTATAAGTGTTTTTATTTTCCATATTATAAGATATTCAGAAATTAAAAGCCAGTTTGTGAATTGGTTTTCCACATAGACAGAGACAATAAAGAAAAAGTTGCTTAGGGGCAACAAATTGCACATTGAACAAAAGCCAGAACAAAGCCCTCATTTTAGTCTCCTAAGAATCTGCGGATAGAGAAGAGTTATTTTGTGTGAGAAATGCCCTCTACAAAACTCTGTCTTGTCAGGAGTAAGGGGACAAAATTCCATCTGTCTAACTGGGCAAAAGGTGTACTCTGATTTAATATCAGACAACAATGAAAATAGATTTTTCTATTTAACATGCAGGATAAATTTGACTGTTACTGTAAAATATTCTAAATAGCAATTATGAGATTGTAGCAAAATTATATATGCCAATATTTCTTAATTATAACTGATAACATTTTGGTTTAATATCTGCCGCAGGAATTGGCTTTTTAAAGGGTCTTTTTTCTGTTGTTTTAAGACGCTTATTTTATTCTTCCAAACATACTGTACTGACTAACTTAATTAGTTTAAATGTTTTGCTAGATATATTTACATAAATTACCTTCAGTCTG